GACGCCCCCATACTCACTCCTCGGCCACGTCTTCCTCCTCCTCCCCGGGGTTGAAGGACTCATCTGCAGAAGACCACAGCGTGAGCATCAGCGCGGCGGGAACAGTGCCCGCCGCCCACGCCCAGCCCCGGCCCCCCAGGCCCCCGGCGCACCCGTCTCCTCGCCCGAGTCGTCACTGCTGTCGTTGGCGTTCTCCTCCCGGATCTTGCCCTCCTCCTTCATGCGCTCCAGGTAGGCATCGTGCTGGTCTTCGTCGGAGTCGGCGTACTCGTCATAGCTCGGGTTCATGCCCTGGCGGGGGAGGAGCCGGGGTGAGGGCCGGCGTCCCCGTCGGACCCCGGCACGCGCAGAAGCACCCGCCATGCCTGGGAGCTCAGCGCAGCAGCGCCTGGAGGACCAGCGCCCCGGTCCCCACGGCCACACTGGGTCAGCCCAAGCCCCTCCCGCTCCCAGCCCCACGGGGCTCAGAGGGCTGCGGAGCCTGATCTAAGGCCATGCAGAGAAAACCTGCACCGGGAGGGGACAGGGTCACACGCGCCTCTTTTTTCTATAAGGGTAAGAAGAGAGAAGAGAGTGGGAAAGAAGCCGGGAGCCTCTGCCCCTCGCTCCCCAACAGAAGGGTCAGGAGCAGCTCACCAGCCCACCCTGGTACCTCTTTCAGGCCTCGGTTCTTGATGTTGAGCTTCTTCGCGTTGACGAAGTCGAACAGCTTCCCGTACTCCTCCCTGGGGGAGACAGTGTTGCCGCGTGCGTGGTCAGGACCAGCCGGGGACTGGCCGCCGTGCCCGCACCTGTGGGCCAGGGCCCGGATACACATCCAACCCTCGCGCTCAGGGAACCCAGAGATGGCGCTGGGGGTCAGGCAAGGCTCCCGGGACAGGACCTGCCCGCCCCGCACAGCTGGGGACAGGAAGCGGGGGTCACCTCCTTCCCTACATCGCATGGACCGGGCGCGCAGGGGGCGGAGTGTCCTCGTCACGTCGAATCTGTGACTCACACTCGAAGGGGTGTGGCAAAATGCTCAGCCCACAGGAGCGCTCAGGAAGATGAGCGGCGCGTTCCCAGGCACAGAGCTCATTCCAGGACAGAGAGAGCGAGCACTTGCTCCAAGCATGGAGGAGGAAAGCAGCTCCCTCCACACACTTTCCTCATGCAGAAAATAACTGTTCCAGCCAGGCCTGGTGGCACACGCCCGAAACACCCCCTACCCTGCCCCACCCCCGCACCCGCACCCTGGGAGGCTGAGGCTGGAGGATCCTAAGTTAAAGCCCCACACAGGCAACATAGCAAGGCTCTATCTCAAAACAACAAGAGGACGCTGGAGCTGTAGCTTAGTCTGAAGGGTTCTATCCCCAGTGCCACAAAAAAGAAAAGAACAGGCCAGGGGTGTTGGCACATGCCCATAATCCCAGCACTCGGGAAGCTGAGGCAGGAGGATCGTTACAAGTTTGAAGCCAGCCTGGGCTACAAAGCAAGTTCAAACATGAACTATGCAGTGAGATCCTACCTCTCAAGAAAGAAAAAGTTAAAAGAACTTTTCTAAAGAACTTTCCCAACCAGATCCCACCAAAGGCACAGGAAGTTTCTGCTCTACTCCACAGGCCCGAGCAGACCCCGGCCACACCAGGCTCTCAGTGCAGGGCTCAGGATGGGGATGGGGGGATGAAGGAGGCCCCCGCCTCACCTCTCGATGCTGCTGAAGGTGTACTGCGTGCCCTGCTTGGTCTCAATCTCGAAGTCAAAGGAGCGGGTGGTCGTGGTGCCTCGGGCGAAGTTGACGAAGGAGATCTCGTCAAAGCGGATGTGCACAGGCGGCTTGTGGACGTAAATGAAGCCCCGCTCCAGCGGGTACAGCAGCCCCGAGCTGGCCTTGTAGGAGCAGGTGATGCACTGCGCCCCCGAGTGCCTGGGGGGTACGGGGAGACTGTCTGTGCCCACAGGACCGAGCCCCGGGACCCAGCACACTCCGGGACGCCAGCCCCAGGCCTCACCCTTGGAAGTTGCCAGGGACTGTGATCTTGCGGTTCACAAGAGCTTTCATGACCCGGCTGACCATCTCGTAGAGCGACCCCGACATGTTCTTGGTGAGCCGCCCCTCAAAGCGCTTCTCCACCTCCTCCCTGGGGACAGAGCGAAGACGCTGCAGGCACCGCCCCCCCTACACCCGCCCAGGCTACATGAATCCAGGCCACACCCACTCGCTCATGTTGAGGGTCAAGGAGATGTCCTCATCCTTGGAGAAGAGCAGGATGAGGAAGTGATACCGGGTCTGGCCCTGCTTGATCGGGGGATCCAGGCTGATCTGGTGAGGAAGGGGGGACAAGATGAAGGCGGCTGGCGCTTCACAAGGAGCCTGGGGCTCAGAACGCCAGTGCCAGCGAGGTCTGCCTGCTACAGACTCGGCAGAACCCAGCTCATCGCGCCCAGCGCTCTCTGCTCACCACGAAGAACATCTGGCGCTGGTCCTTGTGGGGCAGCAGGAAGAGGCGCAGCACCGTGGTGTAGGGGATCTTGTAGTCGAAAGTCTTGCCGTGCAGGTGCAGGAAGGTGGGGTAGATGCGGATGTCGTACCGACCACGCGGGGTCAGGCACTGCAGCTCCCGGAAGATGCAGATGGCGTCTCCGGTGGCCTGGATGACGTCCGCCTTCGACAGCACATTCTGAGCAAAGGCCTGCAAGGCATATCTGGTCAGCCGGCCAGCCAAGGCCTGCTCAGCCATACCTGTTCCCATGGCAACCAGCAAAGGCCTCACCTCAACAGGGTCCACGCCGTCCTCCTGGGTGGGCGGGACATAGAAGCGCACCTCCATGAGAGAGACCTCCGCATCGTCGTTCTGGTGGAACTCCAGCGTCACCTCGTTCTTGCCCGTGGTGCACTGGGACACGTTGCTGAGGGGAATCTCGAAGACGGGCTGGTCCCCAATGTCAAAGGAGAGCAGCTGTCCTGAGAGGAAAGGGCCTGTCAAGCCCCGAGCTCCCACACACACGCTCCAGGCTCTCCGAGGACCGGAGATCACAGCTATTTTGTCCCCACTACACCCCTAATCCAGGCACACGAGCTGGGCGTGGTGGCATATGCCTGTAGTCCTAGCACTCAGGAGGCTGAGGCAGGAGGATTGCTGAGTTGAGACCAGCCTGGGCTACAAAGTGAGTTCAAGGCCAGCCTGAATTACATAGCAAAACACTGTCTCAAAAAGACAAAAAAAAAAACCACAAAACAAAAACAAACAAAGCCAAGCACACTGGAGGTGCTCAAGAAACACACAGAAAACACGCAAACTGGGAGGAAATCAGACCCCAAAGGGGAAGAGAGCAAGCCGAGTGAGAGGAGAAAACCTTCCCCTAACTCTCCCCTCAAGCCCACTGCCCCAGGGCTCACCCCCAAACTTCACTGTCCCCCAGTTCCAGCCCTTCACACACAGGTCCTTCTCCATAAGATCCAGGCGGTAGTGGGTTCTGAAGAAATCAGACAGTTTCTCAAATTCCTGCAGGGGGAGGACAGAGAAGCACAGCAGGAGTGACTCTCGCAGCTGCCACGCAGTCCAGCACCCCAGGGCTCCCCCTCAGAGCGAGGCCCGAGTCCACAGACCCAGCACCTCAACCCTGAAGTTGCTTAGAAGGTTAGAGGCTCTCTCCAGAAAGCAGACTGAGGCCAAGGGGTGTAAAGGAAGGAAGTGGTATTCCTGGATCCGGGTCTCACCACGCTAGCTGACCGTTTGAACCGTGTAAGTACTGTTGCAATGAAAATAGAAATTAAAGCAAGTTTGGTCTAACTTAAACTCGAAACCCAAACCGGAACACTGAGCTAAGACTTTTTCTTTTTTTTTTTTTTTTTTTTCTTATTTTTCAGAATTGGGCACTGAACCCAGGGCCTTCACACGGAACTACAGCCTCACGCTTTTTTTTTTAACTTTGACACAGGATCTTACTAAACCACTAAGTTGCCCAGGCAGGGCTTGAACTTGTAATCTTCCAGTCTCACCTGTGCTACCATGCCTGGTTTAAGATGCTAACCCTGGCTAAAAGTAGATGGCATCATCTACCTTACCATAGTACAAAATCTGGAGTCAAAATATGAAGAGCCAGGTGTGGTGGCCCACACCTATAATCCCAGCACTTGGGAAGCTGAGGCAGGAGGATTCCTTCAGAGTTCAAGGCCAGCCCAGGCTACACAGTGAGTTCAAGCCCAGCCTGGTGCCCGGGATATAGTTCCGCGGCACAAGCTCCTGCCTGGCAAGCACAAGGTCCTGAGTTTGACTCCTGGTACCAAAAAAAAAAAAAAACAACAACAAAAAAAAAACCCAGCCTGAACTACATGGTGAGTCTCAAAAAAAAAAGAGAAAGTCACAAAACTTCTACTCTCAAAGCAGACTAGGCATCCTGCAGTGACCTCAAGAACCCTGTTTTATGTTTTCTTTTCTTCTCTTTTTTTTTGGTACCGAGAATCGAACTCAGGACCTCACAATTGCCAGGCAGGCACTGTGCAGCTAAACTGTATCCCCCGCCCTAAGAACCCTGTTGTATGGAGCCCAAACCAGCAGCAACACAGTTATTAGAAGGAATGCCCACGCTCTAGAGACTTAAAAATCACCAAAATGACTCGGGGGCGGGGGGCAGGCTCTCACCGATTCCCGGAAGCCGTCGTACTTGTACACATGACCGTTCTTGGTGAGCAGTTTCAGTCCGTGGCCCAGCGCCACCCGGCGCCAGATGCCTTCCGTCAGCTCCCCGGCCTGCACGTTGTCCACTTTGCCCGTCTTGCTGTTCTTGAACATGATGCCCTGGCGGCTCAGCCTCAGCCGACCATCGTTCTGCAGGGAGGAGTGGCCGATGCAGGAGCGCGACACACAGGACGGACTGGCCCAGCTCTGACCCACAGCACTCTGGCGGCCAGGGGCTGGCCAGGTCCCCGGAGCAGGGACAGCAGCAGCTCGGGGGGTGGGGCCCAGTAAAAACCACCAAGCGCGGGAGACCTGGACTCTGCTGCTCTTGCACCTGGAGCCTTACAGGCCCGCCATCCCCCGCCAGCAGCACGGGCTGGACTTGGACAGCAGCACAAGCCTTCCACCCTGGAGGTCCTGCCACTCTTGGGACTCTGTCCCTGCCGTCCCGTTGGGGGAACAGCAGATTCCCAACCTCCCGAGTCTCCGGAAGTTGCAGCATCATCCAAGCGAGGCTTCTGCTGGGACACCTGCGCGCTCCGCTTCCCGCGGCACCCCACCGCAGCCCTGGCCCTGCTCACCATGGAGCCTTTCACCTCCTGGTAGATGTCGTTGAACTCCAGCGTCTCTGCCATGCTGACCTGCCGGGGGAGGCCGGGAGCCGAGCCCAACTTCTAGACGCGGGTGCAGGGACTCCGAGGGCCGGGGATCTGGGTTCAGGAGGGAGGAGGCGAACCTGCAAGGTGCAGTCTCGCTGCGATCGCGGCCCGGCCGGGTTCCGAGCACAGCTGCGCGGGGCAGGCAGGTCCCAGGCCTGCTCTGCCGGGAGCCTGCAGGCCGCTGACACCCCTACCCGACACCCTGGGGTGCACCCTGAGGACCCGGCAGGGAGCAGCCGCGCCCCTCACCCCGGACTGGCGCGGCGTGCAGGGGCCCCCTCCCCCGGCGCCCACGCTCCGCCGCCCGGGACCCACGCTACCCCCCGCCTGCCAAAATGGTCTCGCCCGCCGCCCGCCGATTTGAACGCGGAATGGTCCATTGCGAGCATCCCGCGGGGGGAGCGGGGCGCGCGCCCGCCTGGGGACCAGGGATAGCCGCCTCTCACCTCTTTCAGCGGTAGCCTCGCGACTGCCCGGGGTGGGCGGTGGGCGCGCTGGGGACGCGAGGGAGGGGCGGGGGCCTCCAGGGGAGCTTTTCCCGCGTGCGCGCCCCGCGTCCCGCCACCGGAAGTCTCGCCCGGCCTATAGAGAGGAAGAGCCGGCTAGAGGGGCGCGAGCCGGGCCGGCCGCCGAGACTGACGGGTAGAGCGTCAGTGACTCTGGAGGACCTGCGGGAGCCGTGGGCGCCGTGAAGTCGCGCCCGGGTGCAGACTGGCAGTGGGAGTGTGGAAAGCCCTGTAGTAGACAGTGGCAGGCATTCGTGCAAGGGGTGCCTAGATTCTGAAGGGGAAGTCTTGTGGCTTCCTCCAGGGCTGGGCGGGGCTTGAAGGGTGCGTGGGCGGCCCCCCTGCAACATAGTTTCCGCGGAGCGCAGGGGCTCGGTCCCCCGGGAAGGTACCCACGGGCTGTGCAGGAACGCAGCCCCACCGCCGCGGGAACAGCGCTGGGTCCGCGGCCGTCCTGCCCGCCGCCCAGGTGCCCGCGGGTGCGGGGCCCTTTGGGGTGCCGCCTGCGCCCGGTCTCCCGTCCGTCCCCGGGCCCCGCGGGTGGCAGCGCGGGTGGCAGATTCACCTCGGAGGCGGAGCCGGGCCGAAAGCGTCAGTGGCCGCGGGAGCCAGCCTCAGCTCCTGTCGTCCAGCGGGGACCTGGAACCCCCAGGCAGGCCAGGCTCGAAGAGTTGTGGAGCGGCCCCCATCTCTTCGTGCACATGAGGAAACGGGGGCCCCAAAAGGCGTTTCCCAGGGCCTTGGGGAGTTGGCCACAAAGCCGGACCCCGGAGCCGAGACCAGACACCAGTCTGGTTCTCTTCCCGCATAATCACAGCGGCTCTGCGCTCAAGGTGACTGATCGTGCGCGCGCCGTGTGAAGACGGGATATTTAAACCTGGCGTTCCCCACACAATCATGACAGCAGCCTGCTAGCCAGGTCCTGGGACAGCGGACAACAGGAATGCCCGCCCACTCTGCTTAAATAGTGCTATGGCCAGCTCTGCCTAGCCTTATAAATTCAATTAGCTTTAATGCATATGTACTGTGGGCGCATTACAAATCCAGCGCGCTCGGAGGCTTTGAGGAGGTGAAAGCACACACGTGAACTGCCCAGCCTTTCAGGGCAGGCAATCCGACCGGAGGTTTGGATAAGTAGCCTGCCGATAGGACAGGAAGCTGCTCCGCCAGGGGTCAGCTCTTGCCAGCTGGCGTCAGGGATATGGGACTCGCTACTGGTCCCGTCTGGGACACCCAAAGAAACGTGCGCGAGGACCCCACGCGCCCTCCTGCTCCGTGGGAGGCACCTGGGGAAGCTACAGAGGCGGCTGGAGTCGGGCGGACCTCAGGAGTAGAGGACGCTCAGCTCAGCTCAGCTCAGCTCAGCGGGCTGCTGGACTGGGGTTGGGGCGTCTCCAGGGACTTCGGGGAGACCCTGAGGCAGCTGGCGAGCGGGGACGAGGATGCAGCCAAAGAGCACGGAGCGGCAGCAGTAGGCAGAGTGCAGATAAAGCATGAGTCCCAGAGGGCCCTCGCCAGCTGCAGGCAGGCAATCAGGAGCCCGGCTGGAGACCCCACCCTGGTCGTGACATCACTGGGGAGTGGGGTGGAGACGAATAAAAAGGGGGTCCCCCGCCCTGGCCTCGGACTCTTGGCCCACGGAGTGTCAAGAGCAGAGGAAGCCCGGGCACGGGGCTGGGGCGCCTGGCGTGAAGGAACCCCGAGCCCCAAGCTGCCCCTCAGACTCGCGTCTGCGTCCCCGCTCCCGCCTGAGCGTCTCCTGAGGCTGCCCCTGCGCCCTCCGGTGCCCCCGGCGCTGCGGCAGCATGAACTGCCTCTCAGATTTCTTCACCTACGAGACCACCAAGTCGGTGGTGGTGAAGAGCTGGACCATCGGGCTCATCAACAGAGCCGTCCAGCTTCTGATCATCTCCTACTTCGTGGGGTGAGTGCGTGCCTGGCCCGCGGGGCCCAGGACGGGCAGATGCCCGGCGGCCCGTCCTCCCCGTCTTCCCGGCGCTTCTGTACGGCTTTGGTCTGGCGGGAAGCGCTTCCCTCTTAGAGAGCCGTGTCCTAAGGGCCGGCCTCAGCCACCCCGGCCCAGCGCCTGGTCCTCAGATGGACCCTTTGCCCCCTGGTCCTCCAGAGTTAGAGAATGGCTCCTAGAACTGAGGAGTGGGGTCCTCAGTCCAGCGCTGTCCCCACAGCCCTTTCTCCCCGTAGCTTCTGCCGCGCTGGATCAACTCCGTGGGTCTCAGAAAGACCAGAGCACCCCAAGGCGCCGGCACTGGGGTGATCGGGCTGAGTCGGGGGAGGACGGCCGCTGGGGCAGGGTTGGAATGAGGAGTTTCCTGCCTGTGGAGCATTGGCGGGCAGGCTCAGGGAGAGCGCTTGCTCTTGGAGGAGGACAAAGGGCGGGACTGTGGTAGGGAGAGAGAAAGGCGCAGATGACACTCCAGGCAGAGAAGTAGCTTTCCTGAGCACAGTGCGGGTCCCTTGCAGAGAACCCAGAAATGCTGTGTGGGTCCCCAGCAATCCCTGCCCGGCGCGCAGCCTGGAGGTTGCTCCAGGGCCGGCAGGGTCCCAGTACCAACTCCTGCACACACCCCTGCATTCAGACAACAAAGGCGGGGAGCAGACAATAGCGGGTGGGGTGCGGGTCGTCCTTGCCGCACACCGGAGGGTACCAGGCGATGCAGCGGGGCCCGGGCTTGCTGCTTCCCAGCCTGGGCTTCCGGCTCCGCGCCGTTCTCCGAGACAAAGGCTCTCGTGTGCTCGACAGCAAGCCGCGGGCTGGGCCGGGCCTATGTCCCAGCAGCCGAAGGCCGCCTCCTGTGAGCCGGCTTGGTGGCCGGAAAGGTCACACGGAGGAGTGTGTGAGGGCGGGACGGCCCGGGGGCAGGTGTCTGTGTCAGCCATTCTTGCTTCTGTGTTTGGCCGAAGCTGCGGTGTGGGGGCCTCGTGTGGGCTGCAGCTGTGGGGTGGCGTTGCGTGGGGTTGGAGCTCCCTCTCAGTGCGGAGATTCCGTGAGACGAGGCTTGCAGGTGTTCCGCGCCCAGCTCTCCAGAGCGCAGCTCAGAGCCGCATCCTACGGTCCCTGCCTGGGTGTCCATCTGGTGCCACAGCGGTCTGCGGGCACGGGCGGGTCCGTCGGCCCAGGTGACTGCGAGCGCCGTCTCGGCGCGTTCCCAACCTGCCCTGGCTCCGTGGGCTGCAGACAGGAGCCGAGGGGAGCCAGAGCCAGCTGGCTCCTGGACCAGGCCCCCAGCCTCTCCCCAGCGCGCTGACTGCGTCCTCCAGGGCTGGGGGCTGGGCCGGGCTGCGGAGGGCGCCCGCCAGGCTCGGTGGCATCTTGCTATCCAGCCCGATCCGTCTCAGCCTGACAGCTCCCAGCGGGTCCGCACCGCACGCTTACATCAGCGCGGCGCTCTGCAGCCGCCTCGGCCGGCCAGGGCCGTGGCTCTTGTGTGCCAGCCCTGCCCTGCCGCGACTTCAGGAACCTGCTGTCCTCGCCGGAGCAAGGATGTAGCGGCGTCTGCCCACCACGCCAGGCGTGAGAGGCTGAGGACAGACAGGGCCGCGGCAGGAGCCGGCAGAGTGCTTTGACCATGCGCTTCGGGCCGGCGGAGAGGCGGACACTGAGCCGGGGACGCCCGCGAGCTACGAAGCGGGATCTCAGCTGAGGCTGGGGCTGCACAGGACAGGGAGAGCCACTTCCAGGAGGTGCTCAGCCTCCAAAGGGACCTCGGCGGCCACCTGGGGACAGGGCGGGCAGGAGCAGTCTCGAGGCACGGATGCCTCCGCCCTCTGCAGAGGGGAAGAGAGAGTGGATTTCAGAGGAGCAAGGAATAGAGTACGGCAGGGACAGAGGGAGCGGAGGGCAAGAGGGCGAGGAGCTGGGGACACAGAGCCCAGGCCTCCCACGTCCTGGGGGAGCTTCGCTGTCTGAGGAGCTCGGTGAAGTGTGTGTGTGGGGGGGTCAAGGCTGAAAAAGACAGGCGTGCTGAGTTTCAGCTGGGAAGATTGCCCTGGCCAAAGCGCCGGACCTGACAAGGAGCAGGAGCGGACTCGGGAGGGAGAGGCCCGACTCGGTAGGATTCTAGTGTTGTGGTGTCAACATAAGCTTCATTCTTGAGCTGGACATGGGGGCGCACACCTGTGATCCCAGCACGCTGGGAGGCTGAGGCAGGAGGATTGCAAATTTGAGCCCAGTCTGGGCAGCTGAGCAGTGGGACAAGCACCTGTCTCAAGATAAAAAATGAACAGGACTGGAGCATGTAGCTCAGTGCAGAGGCCGCACAAGGGTTCAATCCCCAGGACACAAAATAAGCTTGCAGCGGCCTTTTTCCTGTATCCCCACCAGGAGGGAGGCCACCGGCCTCACCTAGGCAGGAGTGACACGGCCAGTGGGTCTTCTCACCTTTGAAGCAGCATCTGGCCTCGTCCGTCACACGCTGCGGCCTCCTGCCTCAGCCGCTGGCCCGCCGTGACACTGCCTGTGGCCAGCTCCTCCCCACCCCAGGTGCACAAGAGAGCTGCCAGGTGCCTGAAGCTTCTCCTGGTCCCTGGGCCAAGGCTGGCCCCAGGCGGTGGGAATTCCTGGCACCCAGTCCCTGTCTGATCCTGCAGGCAGCCTGGGCAGGGAGAGGGCCCTCCTGGTGCGGGCGGTGTCCTGCTGGTGCATGCCTGGAATCCCAGCACACTGGGAGGTTCCAGTGCTTGGTGGCCATTCCTAGGCCCAGAGATGGCAGATGGGGCCTCCAGCCCCCATTCCCCGCCCCCTAGCCCGCCTCAGTCCCTGAAGCTGGAAAGTGGGTTCCGGATGACGGCACATGTCCGGTGCCTGGAGCTGACTCCGTGGGGCTCAGCTCGGACAGGGGCTTCGATGACGCCCCGCGCTCCCTCTTCTCCCCGGCCAGCTCACCCCTCTCCTGGACGCCTCAGCGCACACCCCGCACCCACTCCCCGGGGCGCTTCCCCCACCTCCCGCCCCCTTCCGCTCTATAAATAATAAACCAGGAGCCAAGGAAAAAATAAGTCAGAGCAGGAGCGTCAGTGCCAAGAATCAGAAGAACCGGGCTCTGTCGTCCGCCCGGGCTTGGCCTGGTCTGGACCGGAACCGCCCCACTCTCCAGCCGGTGCTGAGGGACACCCCCAGGGACCGCTGCAACCCTTCCCCCTGTTAACTGGGAGAGAGGGAGAGAGAATCCACCGGCCTCTCCTCCGGGCGGGCGGGCACCGAGGGAGCCTGGAGGAGCAGGGTTGGTTCGTCCTCTGAGACTCCAGCCCCGCCCGCCGCTGTCGTCCCGGCTGGCAGAGCAGCGCCAGGTCCTGAGATGGGACCCAGCCTGCGGCCCTGCACCACAGTGGCTGCGAGTGGCCTGGTGAGGAATCCATGCAGAGGCTCCACGGCGTGGGCAGGCGGGCCCGCCCCTCCGTGCCTCGGTTTCCGGTTTGTGCCATGGAAGTGACACGACAGAGCTCTGCCGTCTGCGGGGAATGATCAGAGCCGAGCGTCCAGGGTTGGCCGTGCCCTGGCGATAACCTGAACCGCTGCTCCTGTCACTCGGCGGACGCCCGGGCGGATGACCCCAGGGCAGGACAGGCCTGGAGGCCGCCGGTCCAGGGACGGCCGGTGACCTCTCTTCTGCAGTGAAGGCTCTGTCTCTTCTCTCCGGCTGGGACACAGCGAAGCAAAGCTCCTCCCCTTTCCAGCTAAGAGGAATGGCACCAGGGCGGTAGCACTGCAGCGGGCAGCACCCAGACTCCACAGAGAGGAGGGCTCCCGAGAGCGCTTTACAAGCGGGGGAGTAACTCCTAATGGTGCATTAATCCCTCGGCAGACGCAATAACACAGGTAGCCGGCGTGGAGCCATTTCCCACCCTCGAGAGCTGGAGCGCAAGGGAGCCCCTGAGAAGGAGGATAAGTACTGATAATAGGAGAGGCGATGGGTGTGTTAAGAGCTTGATAGAATCATCCTACCATGTGTGCAAGCAGCGAGACAATGTGTCGTCACTGCCGGCTAAAAGTGCAAGGATCTGCTGGGTGTGGCGGCTCGTGTTAGTAATCCCAGCGCTTTGGGAGGCTGAGGCAGGAGGATCACAAGTTTGAGCCTGCCTGGGTGATTTAGGGACTTAGTGAGACCCTGTCTCAAAATTAAAAAATAAAAACAAGCTGGGGATGTAAGTCAATGTGAAGGCCCTGGGTTCAGTCCCCAGTGCTGCAATAATAATAATAATAATAATTTGAAAATTAAAATTTTGAGGTTTGTTTTTTTTTTTGAGACAAGGTCTGGCTATGTAGTTCAGGCTGGCTTTGAACTATGTAGCCCAGGTTAGCCTCAACCTTGAAGCAGTCCTCCTGCCTCAGCCTCCCAAAGGCTGGGATCACAGGTGTGTGCCATTACACCTGGCTGAAAGTTAAATTTTAGAAAGAAAAAACGGGAGGCTGAGGCAGGAGGGTCACTGCAAGTTCGAGACCAACCTGGGCTACAAAATGAGCTCAAAGCCAGCCTGAACTGCATAGCGAGACCCTGCCCCAAAAGAAAAAAAAAAAAGGAAAGAAAGAAAGAAAATACTGGCATATGGGAAGCCTCACTGTAGGGATTACTGCAAACCTGCTCGGTGAAAACCGCACAAGGTGCTGCTTGCAAGCGGCATGCTGCTGCCCCGTAAACGTGACCGGTCACTGTGACCCCAGCACTCTGGGAGCTGCCCCCCGCTGCGCCCCCGCACTGGGGGAGCCAAGCGTCGCCCTGCCGGTCGGCACTGAGCAGAGCTCGCTCCTCCGCACAGCGAGCCCCGCGCCCGAGGCCCCGGGTTCCCGACCCAGCGCAGGGAAGGCAGTCGCGCAGTTAGAAACGCAGCCGTGTACCTGCTTGTTCAGCGACCTTGGTGGGCTCTGTCCTCTAGAGTGGGGCCGGTGACAGCGGCTACCTGAGGCCCTGCGGCATTTAGCGAGGCCGGGAGGCCGGAGGGCCGCCGGGAGACCCGCTCTGTGCAGCTGGGGTCCGCGTCGCACCGCCCCATCAGAGCTTCGCGCGGCAGAGGTGGCTGTCCCAGGAAATGGCCACTAGGTGGCAGCGCAAGCCCAGCAGTGACCTGGGTACCGGCCCGCAGCCCCGTTCCTGTACCTGCCGGGTAGAGACCCAGTGTTGCCCCATCCTCTGACCCCCCTACAGATGAAGGCGGCTGGACACCCCAGTAGAGGGACCCCTGCCCCCCAGGCCCGGGGTGTGGACACTGTTCTCAGGGGAGACAAGGGCTGCGCGTGCAGGAGTGGCTGGGATGCCGTGCGGGTGGACGCTCGGTTACAGTCACAGACGTGGGGCCAGGAGCCCCTCACGCCCCCCTGCACTCCAAGCACGCCGGTCCCGCTGTCCTTGCTGCGTTCTTCAGCAGCTCCGGAGTCCTCCTTATGTCATGAGGTGTGGTCAAAAATGCGGTGAATGCTGCCGCCGAGCACCGTCCCGCAGAAAGGCGGCCCGGAAAAACATGACGCTGCGTCCTGGTCCGCCGTGTCCCCAGACCCGGCACCGTGTGACTTCTGGCTCTTCCCCAAGGTCAAAGTGACCTTCTTAAAGTGACCGTGAGAAGTCAGCGTTTTGAATCAATCCAGGGAAAGACCTTCAGGAAAGAGGGCTCCAGGGCGGCTGCAGAACGTGGCCGGGAGGATGGGATGAGTGTGTTCGAAGGAAGAGAAGGATTTTGAGGAGGCTCCGCAGCAATGTCTTTTACTGTAATCAATTTTTAAAAATTTGAACGTTTGCCGTACCTTTTTGATTATACCTCATATAACGCACAAATATTTGTGTGAACCTGAGCAACCGCCTGTAGTATTAAAGCTCCCTCTATGGGATAAACCATCAGGCAGAAAGTCTGAAAAGGCTCTTGGGTGGGCAGTGACGGGGGAGACGGGGGAGCACCCTAAATCGGCCCGGGGTGTGGCCCGGCCCAGCCTCTGCCTCCGGGCAGGCACTCATGGTCCTAGGTGGGCCGGAAGGAGCGGCTTCCCGGTTGGGTAGGCTGAGTCGGCGCCCCCTCCTCTGTGTCTCCCCCCTGCTGCGCATAGGTGGGTTTTCCTGCATGAGAAGGCATACCAGGTGCGGGACACGGCCATCGAGTCCTCGGTGGTGACCAAGGTGAAGGGCTTTGGACGCTATGCCAACCGGGTCATGGACGTGTCCGACTACGTCACCCCACCCCAGGTAGGGCGGCCCCACCCCGACTCGCAGACGCCCACATGCGGAAGGTGGGGAGCAGGGTCCGGCAAGGATGAGCTTCCCGACCCAGAGCCGGGCGTCCGGGGCCCTCCCTCAGGGGCAGTGGACAGGACGCTGGGTCCTCAGGGCCACCATCAGGATGGCACCGGGTGGGGCCACCTCTGCCCTCTGCCGACCCAGCAGCCCGGCCGCCTCGGCCTTCGGTGTGTGGAGGGCGGCCGTGAGCCCCTCGCCTCTCCCAGGGGCCTCTGTCTCCCTTCTCCCCCTAAGGGCACCTCTGTCTTCGTCATCATCACCAAGATGATCGTCACCGAGAACCAGATGCAGGGCTTCTGCCCAGAGGTGCGGCAGGGCGGGGCGCTGGCGGGGGCGGGGCGCAGGGTCCCGAGGCCACGGCTATGGGGAGCAGCGGGTCTGAGGCTCCCCGACCCTGCCGCCCGCAGAGTGAGGAGAAGTTCCACTGCGCGGACGACGGCCAGTGTGCGCCGGGGCGCTTCGCGGGCGGGGGTGAGTGTGCCAGCACAGGGGCCCCGGTGTGGCTGCCCTGGGGGCCTGGGACCCCCTGCTCTGTGCAGTTCTTCCCATATCTGCAGAGGAGCCGGGCCCGCGGCTTTGGAGGTGACCCAGCCCCCACGCAGCAGTTAAGTGTGGGGGGCGGCAGGTGCCACGCAGGGGGTCAGAGCATGTGGACACGGGGGAGCGTTTCGTGAGGGCCCTGGAGAGCAGGACTTGGCAGATGGAGGGAAGCGGCCCGGGCGCTGGGGTGGGGCGGCCCTGGGGAGCAGGGTGAGGCAGTGGCCCCCCAGGCATGTGTCCTATGTCCCCTCCCCAGGCATCCTCACTGGCCGCTGTGTGAACTACAGCTCTGAGCTGCGCTCCTGCGAGGTCCAGGGTTGGTGCCCCACGGAGGTGGACACGGTGGAGAGGTGCGGCCCCGCCCCCACAGCCCGGTGTCCGTGGCTGTCTGCCCCCGCGCGGCCGCCTCCTGTCCTCCCGTCACTGACCCCCCATCGCGCAGGCCCATCATGGCGGAGGCGGAGAACTTCACCATCTTCATCAAGAACAGCATCCGCTTCCCGCTCTTCAACTTCGAGAAGTGAGTCCCGCTCCTGCCCGCGCCATGCCTGGGTGCCTGGGTGCTGGCAGGGACCCTCAGGGCCCTGGGGACATCACACCTGGACAGGAGGAGCCCTCGCTCAATGGAGGGGCACAGGGCGGGCCAGCGAGGGTCCCCACGTCCCTGCCTGACCGGAGGGGACTGTGTGCGTGACCGCCGGCCACGCTGACCCACCCCGCTCCGCCCAGGGGAAACCTCCTGCCCAACCTGACAGAGAACGACGTGAAGACCTGCCGCTTCCACCCTGCCAGGGCCCCCTTCTGCCCCATTCTGCGCGTGGGGGACGTGGTCCGGTTCGCAGGCCAGGACTTCGCCAAGCTGGCCCGCACGGTGAGCACGACCCTGCCTGCACCTCCTGCCGGGGGTGAGAGCCCAGGTCACAAAGCCGCCGCCCGGGGTCACACCCGGGCCCTTGCCCCTGCAGGGCGGAGTCCTGGGCATCAAGATCGGCTGGGTGTGCGACCTGGACAAGGCCTGGGAGCAGTGCATCCCCAAGTACTCCTTCACGCGGCTGGACGGCGTCTCGGAGAGGAGCAGCGTCTCCCCCGGCTACAACTTCAGGTAAGGCCTGGCGGAGCGGGCGCAGCAGGGCGAAGCTTCCATCCCCGCCATGGATGGGAGGAGGAGACCCCGCGGGAGGCCGCAGGGACACCAGCGCCCGGGGCCCGGTCCAGAGCTCCTGTCCCCCTGCACCTGCTGGCGACTCTGGCCTCTCCCGGATCTGCGCCATAATTGCAGTTTCCGGGTCCCCAAGGTGAAGGCCGCAGCTGGGATCACCTTACAAGCAGTGGTTTCGCGTTTCTGCCCAAAACCAGAAAATGTCATGAGTCACCCGTGACAGTGACAGTGACCATTAGCTCTTCGATGCCCTTCGGAAGAGGAACGGAAACCGGCCCCTCGATAGTACCCTGCTCATCTTCCCAGTGACCTTGGGGCCTCAGGGGTCCTTCTGTTTTCCTCCATCTGGAGGAAAAGGAGAGAGGGGAACACAGGATAAACTGTTTAGAGTAACTGAAGGCCTTGGACACACCCTCAGCTGCCGCCCTTGCTGGGTCCCCGTCCCGGCAACAGTAATAAAGTCGTTCGAAAATCCAAGGTTTCAGGCAGGACCCTGACTGCATGCAGGGTTACACACTAAAGAGGCTAGTCTGAATAGATCAGTCATGGCCAGAAAAAAATACAAGAGTATGTCTGTGACATATTCAAAGAATCATTAACTCAGATTTCCTGTTAGCCAGGCGTGGTGGGGCGCACCTGTAATCCCAGCATTTAGGAGGCTGAAGCAGGAGGATCGCTGCAAGCTCGAGGCCAGCCTGGGCTATATAGTGAGTTCAAGGGCAGCCTAGACTACACAGGGAGACCCTGTCTCAAAAAACAAAGGAAACAAACAGAAAAAAAAATCAAATTTCCTTTGTGGTAGTAATCTCTAATATAGTGGTATACATATGCCAAAAACCAAAACCACACCTTTTTTTTAACCTTAATTTATAAACTTTAAAGTCACCCACCCCGTTAAACTTTATATTTAATAGTTTAAAATATATGTGTATATATATATATATGTTATGTATGTTCTTTGGAAAGAAGAATTTTAAAAAATTGAAATTGCTTTCATAATCAACTCCAGAGTTTTAAAAACCATAGGAAACAACACATATTTTAAAGTAGGTTAAAAATACCGTTCGTCTCTCTGGCAGAAATCGGCGTATTTCTCCAGTCAGTGCATCACGCTGAGATCAATACAAAGGATATTTGTATGGAGGCTTAGAATAGCAACATATTAATCAGCTCTCATAATCTGAAGCGGAAGCCCTGGCCCGCACAACGCCCCGGCCGGGAGGAACTGTCCTGTCCTTTGCCGTGCTCTGTGGCGGGAATGCTGTTGGGGGCCGGAGCTCTTCCGGTGTCTACAACTTTAGTGAAACAGCTTTCGCTGAGAGAGGACCAGCTGTGGAGGGCTTCGTCTCCCGTTTATTTCTTATACCCTGGCCGACCGACCTTCTGCAGTGGGGCACCGCAGGGCGTGACGCACAGACCTGTCCTGAGTAACCCAGGGTGGACGCAGGGGTCCCTGAGGGCTGCCAGAGTGACTCCCGGGGCCATCTGGGAGGGGCAGGACCCCTTAGCACCCCAAGGGACTGCCTCCTGCCTTCCCCAAGCCTCCAGACCTGCTCACAAAGGGCCCTGGTTGAACAAGCGCCTGAACACAGACGGGGGACGGAAATTCGCACTTGTTAACTCAGGGACACGGGGCTCATGGGTGGAACTTCCCGCCCTGCTGAACACTGGAGTCTGTCTTCCGGAAAAGGCTGAAGGACGAGCGGATGCCCGAGGCCCAGCCCCAGCCCAGCCTTGCATCCTCCCACGTTCACTGTCCGCCGTCCTGGGGTTGCACTGCCCTTTGCAGTGGACGGCAGCATTTCAGAGCCAAGATTCAGCCCGGTCCTAATCTGCAGACTCCGACAGCCAAAGGCGGCGAGAGAGTCTCATTTCCGTCGCTAGGTACTTCGCAGCCCGCGCCCTCCCTGTCCTCCTTGCCTAGCTCTTCCCTGCAGAATCGGAAATGCTGAGACTCCTCGGTCCCAGCCTGAGGGCGCCCGGCTGGAAGCAGTCGCTTTACAAGGTGACTGGCCTGTGCTCGCAGGTTAGCGTGGCCCTGGAGGTCACGGGGTCCCAGCTCCCACGTCAGCCCCTCTGTGCCCCAACCCCAGACCGGGACCGCTGCACACAGTGGCCTGTCCATCAGTAGTCAGCTGCGGGTGTGGGCAAGGTGACTGCACAGGGGCCAGCGTGCGTCCCTTCCATCCCCCCGTGAGCTCGTCCTCTCCACCCCAGTTACCCTGAGTTTGTGTGATCTCCTGAAGCTTTGCGCTTTCTCCCCAGCTGGAATTCCGTGGAGACATTTTACTTTTACAACTAGGTCTATTATTGTGCGTGCCGTAAGTTTCCAGGGAACACTTAAACATACTAGTTTTTGGGCTTTTGGTTTGTTCTTTGTTTGTTTGTTTGTTTTTGAGGCAAGATCTCACATGTAGCTCAAGCTGGCCTTGAATTCATTGTGTAGCCCAGGCTGGTTTTGAACTTGCAGTGTTCCTCCTGCCTCAGCCTCCCAAGTGCTGGATGACAGGTGTGGGCCATTGCACCCACTAACGTACTATTTTTCTGACCCCTCTTCCTGAGCCATAGAGACCACAGCTGGTGGTGTCGTGGGATTTGTAGTGGACAGCGCGAGGCATTTCTGCAAAGAAGCAGGGAGGGGTGTGAATGCCCGGGAAGCTGCGCAGGTTAAGGCTCCCGGAGGCAGGCGCGGAGCCTGAGGTTTGTGTAAGCAGCGCATGAGCGCCTCTAAAGTGCAGGGACCATGCGAGGCGTGGGTCCTAGTGTGCACGCACGTGTCTGTGCAAGGCCAGTGTGTGAGGCTGCTTGACCGTGGCGGTAAGGGCGGGCGTGTGCGAGGCTAGAACTGCAAAGACAGACTCTCGTGCGTGCTGTGCGTGCCGTCGCTCTCCGCAGGGTGTGTAAATGGGGTACTTGGCGGGGAGTGTAACACAGGGCTGCTTCCAGGGTGCGCGGAGCCCACACGGAAGAGGGGCGTGGCCCGGCCGGGGTGGCCGCGCCGGGACTGGGCAGAAGAGGCCTGCGCCAGCCGGAAGGGGGTGGCACCCAGGGGCCCTCAGAAAGCCAGGCCGAGGCTGGGCACCCACCAAGGCCCCAGGGCAGTGCGAGGAGGGAAAGCCCAGGGCCGGCCGGGGGCACCTGCAGCACCCAGGCCCCGCTGAGCTCATCCGTGAAAGCTCAGCCCCTGCTCACAGCCGAGGCTCCACCCCACCCTCCCCTCCCGACAGCGACAGCGTGGGCCGTCGCCCGGGAAACCCACACGTCCACAGCACCAGCAATACTGATCTAAGCAGAGTAATGACAGGAAGTTACTTCCGCTCGCAGGAAGCCACCGCACTGGGCGGCGAGCCACTTCGGCAATTCCGGCGCCTTCGCCGTACGGAGGTTTACGCAGCATCCAGTCCCATGATCCCGAGACCCCTGAAAGCCCAGCACGGGCGTTCAGATGGGGGCACCTAGGTAAATCGGAAAATCCTCCTCCTTTTCTCTTTTTTGAGACAGAGTCTCGCTATGTAGTCCAAGCTGGTCTTGAACTCACTGTGGAGCTCAGGCTGGCCTTGAACTCATGGCAATCCTCCTGCCTCAGCCTCCCGGGTGCTGGGATGACAGGTGTGCACCCTACGCCCGCCTTTGCAACCCCGTTTGTGACCGGACCTGCAGCCCCCTGTGCTGTCCCACCGCCAAGGTGGGTCGGAAGGGCGTCGAGATCGCTGAGATGTGTGGTCTAACAGGCGTGGTTGGCCCGGTCTAGAGCCGCTGCTGTCCGGCGCCCCGCCTCCCCTCAAGGTTCAGAGGAAAAGGGATGGCAGTAGCTGCGAGGAGCAGGACAAGGAGCCCCGCTGCCCCCCGAGTTTCTGCTGCTAAAAGGCTCGGCAGCTTTGGATCCCGTCCCCTGGTGTCTGGACCGAGAAACACTTGCTCAGCTGCTCGACGCTCTGGCAGGGGCTGTTGCTAGCGACGGTTCCGGGCTGGAATGCGCCCTGGCAGCTTCCCCGGGTGCGGAGAGTTGGAATCGGTTCCACTTCCACACGGAATCCTTGGCAACGAGAGAACTCCCGGCTCCCACACTCCCGTCCTCCTTCCCTTCTGCGGGGTCTCCCTCCCCGCCCTCCAGAGGCACCCTCGGCAGTGCAGGGTTCCCAGTGGAGGACGGCAGAGCCTCGCTGGGCACTGGGACCTCTGTGGCACCACGGGGTGTGCTTCCAGCTGGAAATCCAGGCCTCCAGGCTCACTGACCCCTCTAAGCCTGCACGACTTGTGGCCGCAGCCAGGAATCAAACCCTAGAGGCACAGCCTCTTTTGCACCCCAAGTTGGCTGTAGGACCCCCATTCCACAGAAGAGGAAACTGAAGTCAGGGTCACTCTCCAAAGCAAGCAGCTAGCTGTGCGGCTCTATGCGCTGCTTATTGATTAAGGACATATTAGCAGTAATATTTTTAAAAATCAACAACACGTCAGGCGTGGTAGCACATGCCTATAATCCCAGCATTTGGGAGGCTGAGGCAGGAGAACCGTCATGAGTTCAAGTCCAGCCTGAACACATTGCAAGACCCTGTCTCAAAAACTAAACAAACAAAATCAACAGCAAACAGCTTCTTCAGTGTCTACCTTTGCACTGGACGTGGTCCCTAGGCTGAGCAAATTGCCCTGGCTCCGGTCCCTTCTCAAAGGGAGGAGTCCCAGCCGCTGCGGGGCTGCGGCCCCACCCCAGACACAGCAAGGCAGCCAGGAGGTATTTTCCTATCAGTACAACATCAACTGTGAAAGTATATCTCAGCTGGCAAAATACTTCCTCCAGGCAAAGCTCCACCGACAACCGCACCTCCTTCCTGCCGAGAAACCCAAACTCCAGGCCCAAGTTTCCCTCGCAAGTCAGACCTGCATCCGGGAGTGTGTTGCTGTTTTTCCTGCTGCTGTCACAGCTTCGTGGCCAGCTCTAGCGG